TATTCGAGACGTTAAAATTGATTAGAGGATGTTTGTGATGATCACTGATTCCACTTTACTCGAGTTACAGAATCGTGTCTAAATTTTCTCCAACATCTCTTAGGTTGCGTCACAGTTTCTGAATTGAAATACCCTTCACTATAAAGTATGACAGCTAAACTCTTATCTAAATTTATTATTTTAATCAATCAGATCATCGTTGTTAGTGCCAATTCCTCATAACACCTTTCACCGAAAGGTTTATGTCGGTATATTTCACGCGTTGATATTTTTAACAAGAACCCGAGTCACCTGATATCTCTTAAGGCGATTTAAAGAAGGCTTTACAAGTCTATTTACCTTCGCCAAGTACCTGCTTCCAAATACTGTTGTTGGTATCAATGGCGATCGTGGCCGAGGCCGAAACGGCGGTCCACTCTGAATAAGATAGTCTCGTGAAGGGCTAGTCTAAGTTAAATGTCAGGGTATCGTGGGGCGTTCTATTAATTTTAGTTTAGGAAATTAAATTGTTAGTCCATCCATCGTCTAGGATGGCTCGGGTTATAAGCAAAGATCCAATAGGTTTTGAAACCTACTCCATTTGTGTACGAAAACTATTAGTTATATGCATACTACTGAGAATAGCTTTATTTTCAAAGTTTTTTTCTAATGCTCAGCCCTTAATTGGTATCTGAAATGCCCATAAAAAGTGTGAAAGCTCGGATTGGTAAAGAAATTCACCATAAAGTATAGCTTAGTTCACTTCATTTACCAAAAGTTTTTATATATGGGACAATGCTGACTTTTATGTAAGCTCGGGAGTGCCATCGCTTCCGCTCGTATCTCCTTCAGATTGATCCAGTACCCCAGATGTGCAGTTGGGCCCCAGTGCAGCACAACTTCTCCGTAGAAGATGAGGTAGAACTTGCCAATTTACCATACATGGGTGACGATCAGGCCGTCGAGGACGTTTCTTTCTACGAGGAGCTGTTGAATAACTATGACGGCCGACTGCACGGCAACTTTCCATTTGACTTTGATGAGGATCTCTTGATACCACTGGTCAGTGAGGTTTCTCGTTCCTGGGCTGATCTGGAAGCCACCTGCGTCGGCTTCCCACATACTCCTACCTCCAGCTCTGGGACTGGTCAGAAACCACCCTCTCCAGGATTAACGGAAACTCCGGGCTTGATCCAAGAGCTCTCCAAGCCTCAAATGAACCTGAAAACTGAGGCTAAACGGGCGCCCAAGCTGGAAATTAAAGAGACTGGACTACCTAACGGTTCTGCTATCAGGTATGATCCTTTTTCATAAGCTATTTATCTACTTAGGCCTTGGTTAAATTCTTTTTGATATCTACTTTTTGAGTCAAGTGGACTATATCGTAATATTTATCTAATGGCTGAGAAGACGAGTAGTTACACGCCTATCTGATGTAAAGAATAACCATAATTGATTAGCACAGTGATACACTTATGCGAGTTATAACTTAAGACAACAAATAAAGTACTCTTTCATTTCATAGATGAGCTGGAGTCCAAAGCAAGCTAAAATGCCTTTGCTTAAGCATGAAAAATTTATCGCTTCTAAATAGGTTTTCGAGGTTATCATTAAATCATTTCTATATGAAAAGTATTCACTCTATTTCGTTGAAATTGATAAGGGGACTGGTAGACGATTTTTTACACACTAATATGAGTAAGCATGACGTTACCTTTGAATTTCGCATAGTCCTGTTTTTCCAAATGGTATCCTCATCCAGGTTGAACTGCAGTTTCGACTTCGCTTAGGCCTTATCAACACCCCCAGCGACCACGGCAGTGCAGCGTATAATCTCCACAGGTTAACCACTACTCCATATTGCCTCTAGTGTCCTTGGATCACAGGGCAGATGCGAATTCCAAGGAAGGCCAGGCATTTCCAAGGTTGTATTTGCTATAGCAATCGACTACGCCACTTATGTTTCGTTTATAAGTTAGTTTTTGACTACCAGCTGATCGTTGAGCTTACTTCTATTTCGAGTGAAAGTGTTTGGTGAAGAGATAAGGAGGTCGGTTTCACCAGAAGACGACGGCGGATTCCTCTTCACCAGCTGTCGATTGGCTTTACTGGAAGATTCATGCTGACGCTGTTTCCGAGGCAGTCTCCTTCGATTCCGGTGAAAAGGTGCTAAGCTTTCGTCCGTCATATGATGAACATCATTAGAGCAAGCTATCATCGTCACAACCTAATTCAAGCTAACTAGTCAAGTAGAGTATATATATCGCTTTTTAGGTATTTACCGGTGAGTTTTCTTGAATCGGGAGTGGATTTAAATTTCTTTGGGATCATGCTTATGTTTAATACTTAGCTTCCTGTGTGATCTCATATACAATATTATTTCAAACGTATCTTATAGCATAATTTTGTGCCTTATCATGCTATTTTGCTATATCAGTTACTCACAGAATGGGATATCCGATGTCGTCTCTTCCTCCTCTGCTGCCACATTGATGACAGGTGGAACGGCTCGGACGTCACGCAGCTCTGCGTCAGGCGTGACGCCTATTTCTGGTATCAATGGTGAGGCGTTAGCTAACGGTGTAGCCCCTGCCCTGGCATCTGCCGCATCTGATGGTCCAACGCCCAACAAACGCCCTCGATCGAATCGACGCTGTGCCATCGCTGGCTCACATTCGAGCCTTTCGGGCCAGGTCATTGTTTTTACTTTTATCTCGCTATTTTTTCTCCCACCTCATCTGCACATTCAAAGGATAATTTATGCTTTTGACCATTATTCTCATTATTGACTTGTATACAATTTATCACTGATCAGTCGACTTTTCGAAACTACAGTCCTGGATGAATAAGCTATTTCCTTTCCAGAGACTAAGCTTCTCTTTAATTCATCCTTACTTGATTAACTAACAGTCTATACAAGTCAACTCGACCTTTACTTTTCTTCTGTTTCTAAGCAAAAGTCGTTGGCATTTTGCTTATTTTCCCATCAACAGTGTCCTTCTGGCTTCTCTTGCATTGAATCTACTCATTGTGCGAGTAAAATTGTGTCCTTTGCTTTCTCCAGCTCTTTACTCTGTGCTAAAACCCGCCTATTCATCTCTATCTGATTTTTAGGTCACCTCAAAGCTTGAGACCATCATAGAGCCAGAAGTTGGATCTACTGTTTTCACTTCAACATTATATGCCCTAGTCACTAAGCCCGAATGTATCTCCACTCGTGACCCACCTTTGCCTCCTTCCAGCCCCATCAAGTTGGAGCCTGTGGGCCGTGCATCCAGAAATCTCTCTTCCTGCTTAGTGTCCACATCCCCAGTTGCCTCCTCAGGTGGAGTTGGCAACTCCTGTTGTAGCCCGTCCTCCTCTTCTTCCCCTTCTCCCTCTTCCACAAAACTAAATCCCTCTGGCAGCATGGAATCGGCAATGACATCCAGTCCGACCGCTGTTCCGCCAGTCGGCAGTGCAGTGGCAACCAGTTCTCCAGCGGTTACTGAGCCACAGAGACGCTCGACGGCTAGTGATATGTCTTTGATACCAGAAGCTGTGTTTATGGTGTGTACTTTATATTTCGCTATTCTTGCCTTATTCTTACTGTTCTATCATGCAATGCATTTAAAACTCCTCTTGTACATGCACCAAAAGCCTCTTTCTTTGACAATTAAACACCTATATCTGATTTACAAGAAGCTTATTTATTTCATATCAGCATATTTAAAGATCTTAATGCACTCTCTTCTCTTTCTCAGTCTCAATTTTTTCTAATCAATTAACTTATTTATTACATAGAACTCTGCTTTTAAATCGTTTGTGGTGCATTTGCATTAAAGATTAAAATTAACATTAAGACAGGAAGTGGGTTGATCTCGTTTTCGCAACTAAGTCTCCCTGACAGCAAGACCAAGGTGCGAAAAAGAGTTCAACCCACTTCTATAGATCGAAAGGAGACTGCGACCGTTCTGAGGGCCACACTATCTTGGTCTTCATATCCTCGATTAGGATAGAAAGTTAATTGCTTGGGAACTGGCATGCATTGTATTTCTTATGTGCCTTTAATGGTAACCCTATTTTGTTTTCGTATAAAGAAGCTTTCAGAGCCAAGTATCGTTCACTATACCTCAATTTATAACTCATTTGATATTTGCATTATAATTTTAAGATGTATATCCAAAAATACTATATTTCTTCGGTTTTCTCACATCTAGTCATTTTGCATTTTAGTAGTCGATCTCGTTAGCCCTTAATTAACAATTATTTTTAACTCATATAAACTGTTCATAAATCTTTTTGTAACTTCAATCCGAGAACTTGTTATGATGTTGAAAAATGTCTTAATATTTACTGTCTTTACTTAAATCGACTAGTGGAAAAGTTGACTTATTACTGTAGCTTTTCTATTCAAATTTCAGGCAATAGCATCTACTTTTGGATCAATCGACGACGTCACTAAGCTCCAGCTACGATACGTGGATACCAGAGACAGAATGAATTCATCTCAGGTTGTTATTACCCCATTTCTTCGTCTTATTCGATATGCTGGAGGAAACTGCTTTTTGTCTCGAATTTATGTTGAACCAGCCCTTAACAATTTGATGACTTTAGGCAAATAATCTCTTTATAATGTAGTCTGATTTGACTTCTCATATCGAAAGAAAGTTGCTAATCGTGAATTGGCCTCGCCTGCAACCGAATAAGGATTGATTTGTAGTAGATGACGTTGGATTGTGAGAATAGATTTTTGAAACACTGTCTATCAGGGCCACAGGACCGTGAGCTGAGGACTTCTTTTCAAAATCCAACAGTCTTCACTCTAAGGGAATCCTCTGGTTTCCAATGAGACCAATTCATAGTCGAACACACTCAATTTTCTCTCGTTATTTTTGTATGCTGTGTTACGTTAAATTATTATAACAATTTAAATGTTTATTTTCATTATTTTATAAATATATTTTCCCCTTTTTGCGTAATTTTCTACTCTATTCTACTCGTATTTGAGTAGGGTTTCGAGACTACCAGTAAATCAGTGTAATGAGATGTATTCACCCTATTTCGTGTAAGATGAGAGTAAGGGTTTCGAGACTACCAGTAAATCAGTGTAATGAGATGTATTCACCCTATTTCGTCTAAGGTGATGAAGGAATCGAGACTACCAGTAAATCAGTGTAATGAGATGTATTCACCCTATTTCGTGTAAGGTGATGAAGGACTGGAAGTGACTACCAGTAAATCAGTGTAATGAGATGTATTCACCCTATTTCGTGTAAGGTGATGAAGGACTGGTAGTCGGTGTAATGAGATGTATTCACCCTATTTCGTGTAAGGTGATGAAGGACTGGTAGTACTACCAGTAAATCAGTGTAATGAGATGTATTCACCCTATTTCGTGTAAGGTGATGAAGGACTGGTAGTAGGTAACTCAGTGTAATGAGATGTATTCACCCTATTTCGTGTAAGGTGATGAAGGACTGGTAGTAGAATTTTTACCCGGAGAGGGTGTTGATAAGACCAATGCGAGGTCGAAACTGCAGTCCACCCAGGATGAGAACAACCC